TTATTTATTTTTTTTTGGCATGTTCAGCGGCTTATCGTGTTCTTGCTGTCCCTTGTTATTACTATTACTTTATTGTCTTTGTTGTATAGTCCTGGTCTAACAGTTTTCTTTTCTTTTCTCAAACTACAGATAATTCTACAATGATGGACGACGCAGTATTCCATGGTGCTTCTGAAAGCCCCTTCCAGAAACTTTCATCTAGTAAGTCGATCTGAAATCTGTTACTAAAACAGTCACATTTACAAACCTAAAAATATCTGGAGATGCACTGATTAGAATCACAAAACACTATTTTCATGCTTTGTGTTTTGTAAAGCTTTGGCGGGCTGATTCTAAACAGTTTCTGTTTCAAACTGCCTTTAGCATCTAATATTAGCATTTAGCATGGTTAGCACAATTAAAACAATATAATCCCTGAGTGTATTCTCCAGAGAATGTATCCTCTTTAATTCTGGGATTTCCAACGATCTCTCAAAAGTCACATTCTCTGTTTGAGTGTCACCCTGAATGAATGCACACTATTTCCTCCTTTTTGCACCTTTTGTGCTTTCTGACTTCGTTCATCATCACAGATTTTGAAAGTAGCTGAATTTGACTTTTTACCCCCGTCAGTAAAAACGTCCAGACCAATCGTGTGTTCTTGTTGTAGTGAAGCAATCGCTCCACATGGCGGTGCATTCACTGATTATTGGAGATTTTGATTAAGCTCAACATCAGTCAGTTCCTGTCGCTACGTCAATTCTTGGTGCATCTCTTACATAAATGTTTTTCTTAGTAATGTTATGTTGTCTTCCGTTTCTAGATGAGCCATGTCTGGGGGATAAATCAATTTTCTGTCAAATGGAAGTTCTGGCTCGCTACTGTTCCATCCCTGGTTACTATAAGCTTTGCTGTGAGTCATGCAACAAAAAGGAAAGCCACACTGCACACGTTCCTGACTCCAGCTCCAAGACTGAACCTGAGACCTCCACACCCTCCCATTCTGCCTCAGCCAAGGCTTCGTGGCTGGCAACCACCACTCCAAGCCTGCAACAAACCACTAAAGCCATGAGACGACGGTTGTTCTCCACCATCCCTGCGCCAACCACGGCCGCCGCTGCTAAGATTCCTCCACCGACAGATGCTGCTCTGTCTCCACATCCCACCATCGACTCCTTACCAAACGAAGAGAGGAGAGATTCCCACGTGGACACTCGTCTACCTCCCGGGCCGCCGCGGCCCAAGCAAGACTCAAGTGGAGGTGTGTCGAAAGAGCACAATCCGATGAGCACTTTAGGCCCTGTTGCCGCCAGGTCAAGAAGGGACAATTTAGGATCAGAGAGGGACTCAAGTCACAGAATCCTGTTGGCTCATCAATGAACCGTGAGCAATGCTGTGAGCATTAGTGGGACTGAGTAGAAACGTCAGCTCACTTCTCGTCTGTTTTTTTTTTTTAACAATGTTTTTCTGTATGCCAGTGAACCCTGACAAGCCCAGTGATGGTTACCTCATCGAAACCTCAGAGCAAAATGTGTGAAGCATCTGCACACACTCTGTTCTCTGTGCTTAAAATATGAAGCAGAAGAAGAAGAAGAAAAAAGTCAAAACACAGGTGCTGTAAACTAATCAGACTACAGGACATGTTCAAAATGTGATGACTGCATAGCTACATTCATGTTTTATATCTGTGTACAGTTGTGTTAGCCTGTTTTTTCAAGTGCATTAGAACTACTATTGAACTTGGATTGTGAACATGTCGGTGCATGTGCCCACCATAGCTTCATTAGTGTAACACCAGAATAATTATTGACCCTTTCCCAGATAAAAAAAAGAGAATTGTAAGTATTAGATCATGAGGAAAATAATTAATCTTTACATTACCTCTTTGTGCCAAGCAATCGTCAAGTTGGACTTTATAGATTATCTAGTTCACTTAAAAAAAAAATGTTTAATTGGCTTGAATTGGCCTTTATTTGATGGTGGTCAAACAGGAAATTGGGTAAGGAGAGAGAGGGAAGACATGCAGCGAAGGTCATCAGGCCAGGACTCAAACCTGTGATGGTCGTCACGAGGACTAAGGCCTCCAAACGTGGGTTGTGTTTCACCCCTGCGCCACCACAGGACCCCATCTGGTTCACTTTTTTAATTTAATCGTAAATCTCCACCCAAATATACCCAGCAGAGGTTTTATTGGCAGCCCATATTGATTTAATCCGATTCTGTTTTAATTCTAAAATTATTTTAAATAATAATTTTCTAAGTAGAAATCCATTTTTTTACTTGGTGGGTAAATCTACTGCATTACAGAATAATTAATTCATTTTTATATATTTGTTTTTGAACAAAAGCCATCTAAACAGTCAAGGCCATGGTGTGTTAATTAAAAAAGTAAAATAAAATAAATCAAAAGAAACATAGAATTGACAATAGGGGCTATTATTTTAGATTACTATGGGCCTTATTTCTCACTTTTTTCTAACATATTTACATTGAATTTAAAATCTGCATACTTTGTTGTTATCTTAACAGCAATGAGGTTTTATGTTTCAGTCTATAAAAAAAGTGAACTTTTTTTTAAGGCTCTCAAGCAACCAAACGGCATTTCCTTTCCCGGACTTACAAATTCATGTTGAAACGTATCACTGACGTGACACTATCAATTAGTATTAAAGTGCAAGGCATTCACTGTCTTGCATTGTACGTTAGCCATATTATAAATCTTGCTATCCAAATTGAACCTTTAAGCAGATGATGAAAACCCAGCAAGTAAAAAAAAAAAAGCTTTCTGTATTGACTTGTCTCATTTCAGCTTCACATCTAAACTCAATAACATAATTTTTTAAGTGTTTTTTTTTTTTTTTCTGGTGGCACACTGATAATTTTATGGTCTGCATTTCTGGCAGGGACCTCACTGCTTCCCTGCCTCTGGTGCTCTTTTTTTATTGCTATTTTTATTTTTTTTCCAAGTATAATGATGATTTGTTTTAAACGAAGCCAAATTATGACTTTTGCAAGCCAACCCCAATGTACTGTAGCATGTCCTCTGTCTACCTTTGTGGGACTTGATGCTTTAAGAACTAAAAAAAAAAAAAAAAACTTCAGAAAGAACATGTTATGATATTTTTGTAACTCCCGCAGTTTTAAGATAGTGTACATAGTGTAAATTACATGTTAAAAACATTTGGAATTAGAAACAATAGACAATGCTACAGGTCTACGAACTGAAGCTGGAAATACTTTTACACAGTTCCTGCTCTCTAGCTAACATCTTCACTATGTTCATTGTATAGTTCTTGTATATACGTACATGAATGAAAGCTTTAAGTGTTAATATTTATTGAATTTCTAAGTGGTTAAGTGAACAAAGTAAAATTTATTTCAAAGTAAGAACAATGATTTTTTTTTTTTTTTTTGTGATTTCACTGTTCCTTTTTATTTTAGTTAAGCTTGTTTCAGTTTGTGACAACGCAGTGCCTTGCAAAAGTATAAACAGGCCTTCGATTTTCCCCACTACGTTTTGTTACATTACAGCCCTTAATGTGTTTTATTAGGATTTTATTTTATAGACCAACACAAACTAGAGCATAACTGTGACATGAAAAGGAAATGATACTTGGTTTCCAAAGGATTTTTAAAATAAATACATGAAAACTGTGGTGTTTAGGTGCTTTCGGCTCCCTTTTACCCAAAGCAAAATCCAGTACCACAGATGTTCTTCAGGAATCAGCTGATTGGTAAATGTCATCCATCTTTGTTTAATCTGGCCTCAGATGTTTTGTCAGAGGATAAAGAGAGTAATAATTACCTGATGGAGTAAAGTTGTGGAGAAGTTTCAAGTGGGGTTATGTTGTATAACAATCCAACATGTGAAAATGGGAAAAATATGGCACAACTGCCAACTTACTATGAAGTGGACAACCAGTTCAACTGACAGACTGCGCAAGGACAGCATTAATCAGAGAAGTAGACAAAAAAAAAAGCCTATTGCAACTCTTGAGGAGCTGTAGAGATCCACAGCTCAGGTTGGCAGGACAAATATTAGTCATGCACTCATGCACGAACCTTCACAGAAAAGTAACAAGAAGAAAACCAGTGTTAAGAGCAAATCATAAAAAGTCATGTTTTAAGTTTACCACAAGCTTGGTGGGAGACGCAATAAACACGTGGAGGAAGCGGCTGAGGTCGGATTGCGCTACATGCAAAACCTGAGCTTAAGACAGTGTTCTGTGGGGTTTTTGTGGGAGGTGCACTGGCCACCAATTTACCGTTTCCAAGACCAAAGAAGTTCAGTAATAAACATCAAACTGTGGAATATGTTCTGGGAAAATTGTGAAGTGACTTGCCCCGGCAGCCAGTGTCTGACTGTTTCGTCTTTTGCACAGCAGTGAGTATGCCTATTACTGTCTCTTTTCTCTCACCCTCCTTTCCCTCTTTTCTGCATCCGACTCTTAATAATAAGCACATGTAATTTGACGTCCATTTATTGACGGGCTGATGTGTTTGTCAGATCTGCTGGACACGATTCTGCTGCAGAAATAAACTGTTCAGTTCGTCGTCTTCCTTCGTACAGCGAGATTGGAAATTTGCGACAAGATAGATGTTCAGAGATGCTCCACATCTAATATGACGACTTTCAGCATCTGGATGTGTGAAGCTGACAGTCATACCCTAGAAGACTTTCAGCTGTGATTGCTAAAAAAAACAAAAAACGATGACACTACAAAGTCTGAACAAACTTTCACACTTGTGAAGTGAAATACTTATGAAATACATTGAAGTCTATTGTTGTACTGTGACAGAGTGAAAAAAAAAACGATGGGCACTTTATGTGAATGGAGATCACAACAGCTGCTCTAAATAAGATTTTATATCCTACAACCTTTATTTAACGGCTCATTTCATTCTAAATCAATGAGTGCAGATCTACAGGACACTTCCTGTAATGAGACATGTGCTGTATAGTTTGCAATTAATGCGTTCAATCTATTTTTGTAAGTACTAAGTAAAAACAAGACAGCCAGTACACGCGCATTTAAGCACTTTATTAATTCTATCCAGTCATTTGCAGGGTGTCATGTATCAAGAGACAAGTTGTGACTCTTAAACAGGAAATCTCTGAGAGGTTTAAGTGGCACAATTTGACATTTGTTCCTATTATAATCCAGCTTCCATCCACCTGAAGGCTGGTTCTCCCTTCTGCTCGCTCTTCTTCAAGCAGGTCATATCATCCGGGCAGCATTTCGTTTCAACAGGGTAGCGTCTTGCCGTTCGGGCAGTCTGTCACTGTGCCCCCGCCTTCTCTGAACCAGGGCAAGGGGCTGCTGCAGTGTGACGGTCACGAGGACTCAGTCATCTCAGACTGAGACGTTTCCGAAGATGTCTTGTGAAATCCAGCTGTGCTCGAGGCAAACCCTGATTGACAATGGACTTAGGCAGCCAGCCCTGAGGAAAAACGAGAAGGAAACTTTCTTTTACAAATATGCTCCAATATACAAAGAAGAAACGGATGAAGTAAGACAGTAATGTTGGGGAATTTAGTTCTTTGCGCCACAAAATGTGATGCATTTTGTTTTGATTCTGTGAAACAAAGACCAACACCAATAGAGTAGATGTATAGGAATAGATGTAGAGTTTTTAGTTTGTTCAGATTATCTTCTAGTAGCTTTGGCTACAGGGTTAAGACTCAGTATCCTTGTGGGAAGTTCAACCTTCGCCTCAGTCTCAAGACTTTTGCAACCTTTACTTTTTTTTCAGGATCCTCCTATATGTAGCTCAATCTGTCTTCACATCAACTCGGACCGTTTTTCCTGTCTCCTGTGAACAAACTTATTATTCACAAACTGATGCTTTGTTCAAGCACTTTCTGTTCCTATGTACCTAGCACTTTGCATCCAAGTTGAAATGATTTATTTTGCCGTCGTGACTATCTTAATTTGGCATTAGAACAAAAGCTACATATTTGAAGTCTTATTACATGAAAAAGCTCATTAGTTCACCTTCACATCCATGTTGAGGAGCCATGTAAAGCTGCTTTTCCTTGTGTCCTCATCCAGAGCTTTAATAACGATGCAGGTCGGCCCGTCCTCAGCTCTGCGTTAGAATAATAATAAGAAGAAATAGTTCAATAAAAGGCTAATTATGACACATATATAATGTATGCCATGCATCCCTGAATCACATTCTTTTAACTTTCCCATGTAAAAGGCTAAAAGGCGGTTAAAGTCTGTTTGATTTCTCTTGGAAACACATTTGAACAGCAGGACAGCATTTAAATTGGCTTTATGTCGACACAAACTGCCTCCAGTAACATTCTTGTTAGCCTCAACCACACCTTATCTTTAGTTCAGACAAAATCAGTTATTTCCATCAACATAAAACAAAAAAAAGAAAGATTATACTGACCAAATATCACTATAATGAAATACCCACCTAATATAGTTAACTACTAATACAGTTGATATATTTATGTGCTTGCTAGTTACCTAAAATCTGCACTCCTCATCTCAGTAAAAGATTAAAAATGACAAATCTAAACATTTGACTTTAGCTCTTGTCTTGAATTACCATTACATCTGTTTGATGTGTCATTTCCATTTCATAATCTTAACTGATCATCTTTAGTAAAAACACTTCTTCCAAACACAGAGGTGTTGCAACCGAAAAACATATGTGCAATTAATATGGATTTTACTTGCTCAACAAACATATTAAGACTCTGAATATTTTTCACAAACAAGAAACTAAACTATGCCACGGATTTGTAATTGTAATTTAGCCTTGTAAAACCACACAATATTCTGCAGTTAGCAGAGACTAAATGGGATATGTTTACACTGGATCATTTTAATGTAATTTCAATGTAATGTAATTACATGTAATTTCATGTAATGCTTAAGCTCATTATCCAGTTGAAAGGGGAACCTCCATCACGGTGTCAAGTGTTTTACAGCCTCTCCAGAAGCGTGGTACCTGTTTTACCGTGGTAATGGTGTATTCAGGGTGCTAATTTCTGCCACACAATCCATTTTGCAGGAAAACCAAAATGTGTAAATCTGATCTCATCTTTCTAGGGAACTGTCTTCAACATGTTTACTTTCATTTAGGGGTGTCCGAGTAAAATAGGCTGAATATGCAGTTCTCTATTTGTAAAAACACTCAAAAATAATTTTCTTCCGCCTTTGGACTATGCATGTCTTATTTATTCTAAACTGTAAAAGCATTTAGTAAATATGAACACTTTTGCAAGGCATTGTATCTCACATTAGTGGGTTTTGCACACGTTTTTTTTTTTTTTTTTTTTTTTGTGTTTTTTGGACAAGTTTAACTGTCAGAGCTAATCAAAGCAGATTTTTAATGGAGCAATTCAGAACATTTCAACACTGAATGATAAATGGGTTTTGGAGTTTGGCTTGATTACAGCATACCTCACAAATCCAGCCTGAGGTGGGAAAGACTCCAGCTGAATTGCCGCTCCTCCCAGATAAAGGCAGGATTTTTCTTTGCAGCTGTGTCTGACGCTGAGGAAATCCCTTTGTCCAATAAGATTCCCTGCCGTCTCAGCTGAAACTTCGTGAGTTACGATTGTTTCGGGTCCGGCTCGTTTTAAAACCTACAACCAAAAAAACAACATCAGAGTCTTCAATGATAGATTTGTATGTTTTATAACCCACAAAACTCAAAAAAAGACATGAACATGAGCAATAAGCTGAAATAAGCAAAAAGGTAATCGTAAAAAAACTGAACCATTCTAGTGATTTAGTGAATTACTAGTCAATAGTTATGTAATTGCTAAAGAAGCTTTCTGTTCACATACTGCTGTGCCTATTAAGGGAAAGTCAAATGGAAAGACAAAATGTGGTAGAAAATATTAATAAGAAATAAGGATAATCACAACAATGAGAGCAATGTAAAAATAAAGTCTATGTAAAAGTTCTGGGGAGTTTCACACGACATGGACAGCAGCTGGAGTCAGTGCTTCATAGAAAATCAGAAAACTCCAGTAAGTCTACACAGTGGAACTTTTTCAAGTCTCACATCTGCAGCTTATAAAACATTTATTGTCACAGCTACAGGTTTTCATAAGTTATTTAATGATATTGAGCTCACTTTGACTCGCTGTATGCTCGGGTTCCACTCGTGCATGTTCTCAACCCTGACAAACAGGAGGTCATAGAGGTCGTCCAAGCTGGCTTCCAATACTGCCTCCAGCCTGAAGACCTTCCCAGCCCCCGGTATCACTTTGCTACAGATCACATCACCATTGTTCTAAAACAAGATGAAACATAATGCAACTTTCACATTTATGTAAGAGTGACCAAAAGGAGTTTATTTGACAGTAAGGACACTTTTTAAGACACAAAAGAAAGTTGGCGAATCGACGTTACCTCTTGAATTTCCAGCTTCCATCCTTCACCGTCCTCCAGCATGCTGACAGCCTTCCGCAGTGCTTCCTTGCCATGTTGTATGTAAAACAGCTGATCTTCACTCACCGCCACTTCTGTTTTGGGCTCTGCAAGCAACGTGGATGAGTAAAACTTCATAGCAAAACATGAAGTAGTAGTAACAGATCTATGTTTCAATACCAGCAGGTTTTCCGATGTGATGTTTGATCTGGGCCCAGTGCTTCATTTGCGTGATCTCCTTGCTTATCACTGCCACAGCTGTGCGTTGAAGCCCTGCAAGTTAGCATGGGAGGAAGAACGATCAGAATGTATAGCATCTGAATGGAGCACAGGGAAGCTTTTTGTTTTCCAATCCTCCTTTGCTTTACCTGACATGCTCCTGAGGTGTGGGTAGGATATTCCACAGCAGAGCTTCACCACAGCAGGCAGCATGTTGTCTGTCTTCGCCAGAGACAGCAAAGTATCGAAGGAGTTCCTCACGTCTTTATACAGCTCGCGAAGGACACTCCAAAGAGATAAGAGCCGGAGAAAAAAACGATAGAACTTGTTCTGGATTCAGTCCTGAAGGCCGTGCTTGACATGAGGGTTTTTTTTTCTTTTTGCTCCTTTAACCAAAACAGATGATTGAACTCAAGGTGGGAAGAAAAGGCTGCATAAAAGACACATTAGGAAAAGACTGGTTTTAGCAAGAAACATAGATAATTAAGTAAGAGTTTCCAGAGGCTGTAGGTAAGAAATAAAAACTAATTAGGTGTAAAAAAAAAAAAAAACTACTTCAAATAGCAGAGCTGTTGCTATAAATTCTGCGCTATAATAGCATTACAAATTGATATAGTAAACCGTGGCATTTTTTTGTAGTTGTATTATTATTGGCTGGGTAATTATTATTTATCAATAGTAATGTATAATTCTATTATAGCAACTAACTTAATTCTGTTTCAGTGCTATTTGCTGAAAAGTTTGGGAACACTATGTTTGAGAAAAACTTTGCTAGCATGCTAGCAGATGTAGAAACCAAACAGTACTTTTTGGAATTTTCCCCTTTGCTTAATTCCACTTTAGTTTTAATTATTTCACTTACTTACATTTTACCCGATGACAGATTTGTTTAATAATCACAAAAAAAAAAAAGATTCTTCCTCTGGAATATTGGATGATTCACCTCACAGAAATTCTCTAGTTTTATCTCCCTCTTCTTAACGACGAGTTTGTTTCGTCTTGAGTTTCATTTGCATGGTTTCTGCATCCTGTGTGTGCATGTGTGTATGGCACTGCTCTTTTTGTGTGAAACATTTGATAAAGAGCCCAGAGCAGCCCTGTGATCTCAAAGCTGCCTTGCAGAGTCGCTGCTCGAAGTGCGCCAGAAACCAGCTTCCCCTTATCACCAAGAGCCAACAGGTGTCCTTGTTAGAAGGATCCCTGACGTAAATGATAAACTTCACCTGCTGACAAGGCAATGTGGGTATTTAATTTGTTTCTGATGTACAAGGTTTATAACACAGTAAGATTAAACGAACGAAATTAATGAGGAAAAAAGTGAAGTGTTGGTAAAAAAAAAAAAAAAAAATGCATCTTGGCAGCATAGTGACTTAGAACGATTAAAATGTAAAGTGGACTTCAGCAAAAGAATAATGGATGCATTTAGTTCCCACGTTTAATCACCTGTCTTCATTTGCCCTGCGCAGTCCAAAAGCCATAGGCCTGCATCTTACAAGATGTGACATCTACACATCTTACGTAACATGTCAAAACTTTCTAGATTCACTCTGTTTTTCCATGGGGGCAGTGGCGCAACTGCACATTATTCAGGTGGATGCGAAAACATAAATCGGCGCCCCCCCCCCCCCCCCCCCCCCCCGGGGGACAAAGCGGGGGGGGGGGGGGGCTTTTCTTTCTTTTTTTTTGGTTA